TTGTAAGCGCATAAGACAGTGCAAATTATTTCTGTGACAGTCTTTTGAAATGTGTAAAGCTCCATTTTATCCCATACATAGTCAAAATACAATGGGCCATCCCCCCCTTGCGTAGATCCCGGGGGGATATATCCCCCCGGGATCTACGCCTATGGCTCCATTCTACGTGGTGAGTACCTTGAATGAAATTGAAAATTTAATAAAAATTTAACATTTTTGTTTTGATTTTTCCCTCCATAGATTAAGAAAAACAAAACTCGATCAAAGGAAGTTAACAGACGAAGCAAGCACAGTCGTTGACATGGCTAAGGTGAGTTGTGTTAGTTGAGTGACGTATATATTTAATGATAATTACCTTAGAGTGAAGTTGAATAGCTTGGTGGTAAGATGGGTTCAATCGCTGGCAAGTTAGACTTCTTTTCTCACGACTAAAAACAGCCCCACTCCCTAAGTCTCATAAAGATACTTTGTTTATAAACCATTGTTACATCCAGTAACTGATTAAAAGAAATTTGGAAAGACTACATTTCTTAGTATTCGTGTTAATACTAGCGTTTGTAATAGAAAATGTATAAATGGTATGGAGTCTTGTTTTCAGTGAGCTCCGCCATTATGTAATTCAAATTAATAATTACAGTATAACACGTATTAGTGAATTGTAAAAAACATCTCTTTCCACTAATGCATTGAAATAATACTCGGTGATGTTGCATAGGCAGACGGGAATAGTAGATCATCCTATCCCACTTCGGTACCAGCACATCCCAAGCTAGTAGTGTGTGTTTACCTCAATCCTAAACTCAATACCATTAGACTGTTACATTGTCTATGTCATTTGATTTATTGTGTTTACCCAGTACCAAAATTATATTGTCCAAGTTGTTGCCTTTGTTATGTTGTTATGCAGTTTTTCTAATAATATTTCCAAAATATTACTTGCCATGATATTCCAGTTTGATTATAGCGCCTTCGATAATTTTTTGAATTGGCGCTATATAAATATATGTTATTATTATTATTATTATTATTATTATTGTTGTTGTTATTTTTTATTTATTTTTTTTAAATTAGCTCTGATATTAATAAAGCTGCTAAATACGCCTAAGCCATAGCCTAGTACTCTTACATTGCCTTTTTCGAAAGTCTTTCAAATTATTATATAATTTAGACACATTTTAGCTCTGTGAAATATTTGTATTAATCATAGTATTTATTTACATTTAGGACACATCACTGGTCATGTTGTAAAAAATAAATAAACAAAATCATACACGATAGCATTGGATGTTTTTTGTTGTAAATTAATAAAGGCAATGCGCAGTCACGTACAACCTTCTATGGACAATTTCTTCTAAATCTTATTTACGTAACATTGTTTTGGATTTAATTCGTATCGAGGACAGTAGCAAAAATCAAATCCAACAGAATGATGGTATCTTGATGTTTTGGTTGTGGCGAAAGGAACTAAATTTGAACGTAATTGTTGGTACAACTATTCCTCACAATAAGGATGGACTAAAACATTAGCATATAATGGTTATTTAAAAATTATAAGTTAATCACAGGACTCATCTACTCGTGTGTGATTAATGATTTTTTTTTTATTAACAGGATTAGTACAAATGTGTAGATAGATACTCTCATTTTCAATTATGACCCTTAAGCTCGCCATTTAATTGTCCCAATTGATATCAACTTTATTAAATTTATATTTTCAGCATTTAAAAAAAATGTTTATATTTATAATATATGTTTATAGGCAATTGACTTGCACTGATATGATATAAAAAAGTTTCGTCTCGGCAATACTGTATTAAGACGAGATTTTAGGGGAAAAAACAATTTAAAATATAACCTTTTTACAAAATGAAGCGTTTGACTTTTATTGAAGTATTATTTCAACATAAGCATAGATACGTACGGAGGATTGAAGGGGCCATACAAAACAAGCGTTTCACTCGTTTTATGGAAATTCGTACCAGCTGTATTTCTCTAATATATTGAAAATATACATAAATATCTTAATGTCTTTTTAAAGCTTCCTCTCATATCATTTACTAGGTGAACTATTTTTTAAACTAACTGATTGAATTGTGGTGACATAATACTACTTTTGATTTGAAAATAATGTATATTCAACATGTACTACTTCAGTATTTCTAAATATTTGTTTATCTTATTCCTGAGCGCGTTACTAATATTCTGTAAATTCTATCAGCGTAACAATTCAAAAACTCGGTCAACTAAATTTGGAATTACTTTAGGTTAACGTCTAAAGGGTCCTCCGCTATTTTAATACCAGTACACTGATACTGTGCCATGGTGATTAAATATTTACGATCGTTTTTAACTTAAATAATGTTCAAAAGTAGGCCTAATATGTGTATACCCGAAGAGGAAAGTAATTTATTCCCATAGCATAATTTGAAATAGGCCTATCTCGGAAGCTGGTAAAAGTTGTTGCACGTTGACTATTTTTTTACATTTCTTTTACATAGCTTTCCGTTAATTATTGCTGGTTTTTCCATAACACTGAGCTGCATGACTTGAAACATAGGCGTAGCACCCTGTTGTGATCACTTCCTGTATTTTATATCTCTTTTTGTATTTACCGTTTGAATTCCATAGACCTATGTGGAATAGTTGGAATCTGTCAAATTTTTTGCACCATTTCTTTCCAGCCAGGCACATATCACCTACATGTTGAAAAAGTACACCAACAGCTTATTGTTGAAGCCGTGCTAGATCCATGTCTGTTCGGTAAAATTCGGCAACCTTATTCAGACATAAATTAACGCAATCGAGTTTTGCGTTTTACCATTCATTATTGTAAATATTAAATATTTGTTTAAAGCTATTAAATTGTTAAAATTCAAATTTTCCCTGGAAAAGTAGAAAATCTCGATTGCTTTGAAGTTCAAATTATACCTCATATATTGCTGGTTGGCAATGCTACGCCTGTGTTTACAACGATGTGTATGGCCACTTCGAGAAACAGTCCTTTTAAATTCCGACATTATTTGAGTTTTCTTTTGTCTTTGCCTTCAAAAGATGCATGAAATAAGCGGGCATATTTCAGCCTCAAAATATCATCCGGTTACAATGCCAAACGCACGCCCGAGAAATAGCCTATTATGGCTGAAACCTCAGTTCATGAATTTAAAAATAATTCTATTTAAAACAGATAAAGAAGCAAACACATCAAAATAGATTATGGTTCTTATATTCTGTGGTGAATTAAAGTGTATATATTTTTCCATTTTTTGTCAACTACCACAGCCATTACTTGTCCGCGTTTCTAGAGGTGAAATGGCCATGTACACATCAAAACCACCGGCGCTTTACCGACATGTAGGTAAAACTGTATCCATCCGCCATGCATGAGTTTGTTCTGCACAATGATTGCTCATTGGCATGTTATGAGTAATTCATCATTACCAATCAAGATGTTATCAGAGCATTTCTCCTCGTTACTTATGCTCAACTACAGACTATATTATGCGCATGCTCAATGTCACATGATTGTATCATTTTAGAATCCCTTTAGATTTAGATATGTTATTAGCAGATATTCCCAACTTGCATGTTTTATGTGGTAGTGAATCCTTCTCATTTTTAACTACACGATTGTGCGACTTATTAGATATTCTTTTTTTTTAAAGCTAACGTTGTTTATCATTTTAAGCAAAGCTTGTTCTTAATTTTTTTTTTAACAAGAATGTGCCTTTCAAGTAGGTCAAGACCTGTTCATACTTAACTTCCTGTCGTTCTTACCCTCAAGTCAACATGATGCTTGGTCCCAATGCGATATAAATCAATTTACTCAACATCATATAATGCCTTTGGCTTTAAATGTGACTTAGTTCAAACTACTAGCATATGATTTATTTTTAATCTCTTGGGGAATATAGTGTTGACAATGTGTCACATAAAAAAAAACAACGTTGCAGAAAGTGCAATGATGCGTACACCATTGACCTTCAATCTGCAATACGTAAGGCGTTCTTACATCTTGCGTTAACGCCATGGTGGTTAATTCAGCAATTCCTGTTGATTTTTTTTTCTCAATATGATGTGTAATTTTTTATAACGGTGTAATTTTATAGTTAATATTACCGTTATTTTTACTTCTAATCGTTGTTTGTTGTCCTTATGCAGAATTATCGTTTTTTATTTATTATTTGTTACTATTACTGTTGTATTATATATTGTTTTGTTTTGTTGCGATTATTGGTTGTGTAAACAAAGGAATAACATGTTGTTTAAACGTTCGTCTTATATGCATTTATACTTATACATATTTAGAAGCAGAACATATTGCTATGATATGCTGAAATTGCTACCAGAATAATTATATCAAATCAATGTAAATAGTTTGGAGCTAAGTATCGTAAGTGGTTAAAAGTAAAATATTACCTGTTGAAATTGGCTCAGCGACCTTAAAATTCGGAAATAGTTGTCCCCAGGTCAGTGCTCCGAACGGAAGCAAATCCTTTGGTGTAAAACAATAGACACCAATACAACATGCGTTTCATCCCGAGAACACAATGTTGTTCTCTTAGGAGTTATTCACTCACAAGGTCTCTACTCTTCTTAATCACATTTTTCTATCTGGTTAAAAGAAAAACATCGCATTCGGTTGTTTTAGAATAAACATTATTAAGATAAGGCAACAATTGATAATACTCGATTGATGATTAATTAGAAGATAACACTAGCAGTGACAGTGGCAGGTAGGCTTTTTTGTATAATGTTGGATGGGAATAAGTTAACTTTTTTTTCATATACTGTAGTACTGTACATTGCTATTGTCTTTTCATCGATGTGTTTCTGTGGTACCTCGTCAGTTGTCTGTTGTTTTTGTTGCCCCCTATACGATGAGTTAAATGTTTGTTGTTTGTAGTGAAACATACTTCATGTAATCTGACCTACTCTGCATGTGTATCTCACCCTGCTGCCTGCATTTTTTTTAAAAACCCAGTATAAAACAGACTTATTCATTTGGATGTTTCAAAATTTCTCAAACTTTTGCGAAAAGTATAATCACTGTTCCCTGGTATAATTGATATCTAATCCTGATTTCATAATGGTTAAACCAGTCTAGGTAAGAAGAACGAAATAATTCATTGTCTGTACTTTACCTAATTATTGGTAGTTATTGAAATGAAATATCAGCCGTGATTTAACCATACGTCCGAATTAGCCCACCCTTTTCAAAGAACTTTTATCTGTACCTTCTCTTTCCCTTCTTATTTACAAACTACCAACTAATCCCTTAATTGTCTTATTGTAAAATTAACTAAAAAACTTAGTTATAATATAACAATATAGCACTATTAATTTTTTATTTTTTTTATTTAACAGAATATCCACATTTCATCGATATACCAAGACAGTAATTCAGCATGAGTTTGCAAACATACTAATTTTACAAATTTTGCTTTTGAACTATTTATTTTTAATGATTGGCATGCGTAGTACAAGCAAGTACAGGGCGCATTATTGACAGACTTGTGTTCTTTGATTTGGTGCATGGTACTTACTCTCGAGGCGAATATGTTTTGCCTTGATTACAGGCCAATTACTTACACGATTTGGAAGACAGAAGTACATTATGTGTAACACACGCCCACTTGTCTGCAATTTGTTTTGGGAGTCAAACAAATGAACGAAATATCTCAACTAAATATTATTTGTTCTTCTTATTTATTTATTTATTTATTTATCCAACTTTAAACTTTCCAAGTGTTGTCTCAGCAAAAAAAAAAAAAACACAATAACACCAATGTGTCCTGTTATGAAATTTCATGTCATTGTCTCCCATAAAACTCTATTTTCATGAAGTAAAATTTATTAAGGACATTATCCCGAAAAACTAATTTCTATGCCTATGTTATTTTATTAAATGCCTACTTTTTCTATTATGATTACTAAAACAAATGAGGTTCAGAACATTATTGATAAATGTAAAAACAAAAATAATTGCAGCATTATCCCAAAAAAAAAAAAACACAATAACACCAATGTGTCCTGTTATGAAATTTCATGTCATTGTCTCCCATAAAACTCTATTTTCATGAAGTAAAATTTATTAAGGACATTATCCCGAAAAACTAATTTCTATGCCTATGTTATTTTATTAAATGCCTACTTTTTCTATTATGATTACTAAAACAAATGAGGTTCAGAACATTATTGATAAATGTAAAAACAAAAATAATTGCAGTCTTATTTTATTTTAATATAACACAACTAGGCATTACGGAATAACATTATGTTTGGATCTGCTGTGGTGAAATATAGCATCCATAATTACGTTATATGAGTCTCTAGTCTGCTTTTAGTATTTTCTGATATGTTTATTTTTCAGACACAAAACATGATTTTTGAAATGGTTGCTGACATGCATAGTTGTCGGAAGGATCTAGAATCACGAGTGGCAAACGTAGAAGATAAACTGGAACATATTCAAACGACATTTGACACGGTAGCGTCTTATGTACGACTTGTCCAGCAGCGTAGTGATTTATTTAAAGTTGAACAGAATCCTGGAGAAAACACACCACCAGAGAGTCGTCAATCGTTTCAAGATTTGCCTGCTAGGACTAGCTTACAAGTAAATTCATCCCCATCTCAAGATCGAGGTTCAGAAAATATGAACCCCTGGTTGCCACAGGAAATGACTCGGTCAGGTAGTGGAAGTGATAATGGTCTTGCAAGCAGCGGACTTACTTCGAGACGAACGTCTCTAAGTCGCTCCAGGCCGTCTATCACAATTCCTAGACTCTCTAGATCAATGTCTCATCCAAGAAATTCGCGACCAGTAAGTGAATCACTAGAGGGAGCAGATGGGTCCGTTCCAAACCCTAACGTCACGTGTGCGCCTCTATGATTGGCTTATATTGTGTTGACTGGGTATTTCACATTGTTCATTTGAGATCATCTTTCATCGTAAGATAACAAAAGCATTTCTCTACGGCGATATTTAGTAATATTTTTTTGGAATACAATAATAAAAAAGCACTATAATACATACGATTTAATCCTAATAAATGGTATATGCGTCTCATCGGTTTTGGAGAAAAACGTGTAATTGATTGTCGTCAACAACTGAACTCGTTAAATGATGTGACGTTTTTATAAATCACTCAGGTGTAATTTTAAGCTACTGGGGTGTTCGACATTTTGTTATATGAGCGTCTCTAAATATGGACAACTTAAACTTATAAATATCTTAAACAAACTTGACCCAAAGACAGATAGGGGAGAAATGTAAAGAATCACAAATACAACTCACCTTCAACTCAACAATGCATGTACGAATTGTTAACTAAATCTATATTTATTAAATGAAAAACTTATTTCCCATTCATCAGTCGTTGATTTATATAATTATGTTACTTGTTCCTATAATTATGAAATTTAATTAAATGTACTGTGATTATTAACACAATTGTTTGTAATCTTAAAATATATTCATCAATAAAATTACACTCAAAATTTAACAATCTATACCCAGTTTCGCGATAATATAGCACCCCCTATAATAATCTACCGTCCCCAAACACAAGTGGCTGTAGTTCGGACACGTGATCAATAATGAAACAAATGTAGGTGAAGCATATATATTGTCTTAACATATAAATATATACCGTAACTATTAACAGAAAAAAACCTAAAAATTTTACATTTATTGCACATTGTAGAGACATGCGATAAATGACCATGCTGATGTCATGTCTTGTAATAAAAATACAATTAATTTAAATATTGTTTATTTCCGTAAACAAGTATTCATTATATATTTTGATAAAAATGAATAATCATGTAGGCCTATTCTAGTATGCTTTCGATTTTGTAAAAGGTTACCTTTTATTTCATTTGTTTTGATAAATTTTATTGTGTTTATTATCTATTCAAATATCAAAATAGTTTTAACTACTGTACCTAAAGAGAATTATACGCGGCTTTGTATATCGATAATACAATATACTTTCTTTACCTTATTGGAATTATTTTATTATGGAAATTATGGCCGTTATTAATATTATATTATTATAAAGACGTTTTTTCTCTATCAATATTTGTATTAGTATAATTATGTCAGATGTAACCTATGCACAAATTGTTCTCAATAATATTGTACTTGGTGTAATTATGAGAAGTTAATATTCAACATTATTATTATACACAATTTAATACACAATATATGTATGATATAATATATATATAATATGTAATTATTGATTATACGAGGGACTGCGTAATTCGTACAAAAATGATAAAATTCGAATATTATTGTGTATAATATGTCGAGTTATTTGTTAAGGATATATTTAACTGTTTCGTTTTTTGTTTTTTTGTTCCATTGTACTTGTTATAGCCCTTTTGTCTTTGGAAAACACTGCAATAATTTATATGTATTATCATAGAAATGTACTATTGAGGGTACGTTTAACCTCGTTTTATTAGCTTCAGTTTCATTCCAGTCTCTTTCTAAACCAACACTGAATTATTGGAATAATGTTTGTGAGAAGGATATCAGTATAAATTCCGTTGCTAGCTGGGGATCAAAAGTCTTTAATGACTTTCTGAATCTGATGAAAATGATAAATACTTCGTTTCCTCCGAAAACCAGATTTTATTCCAATTATAATGTATACCTGCATCCATATACACATGCTATCATGAACATTTATGTCCATAATATGTGCATACAAACACATTAGTGATGAAGTTTGCCTCTTTTGTATGTGTATACAAATAAGTTGTATGTTTGTGTATGTTCATTTTAATCCGTCTTTTCTTCAAGGTTTGTAAATCTATTTTTGATTATGACTGTTTTGTTTCAGTTTGTAAAACAACTATTCTATTTGATTTCTCAAAATATATTATTTATTTCTAAATAAGAGGTGGCTTTATCATTTGAAAACAATAATTAATAATTATGATAATAATAATTATATAACATGTGAATTAATATAAAACAAATGCTTCCCCTTAATTATGAGATAATATTTTGGAATTACCGTATGTATCGTTTTGTTTCTATAGTTTTGCTTATATTTCCGTTGTTAGTTTTCCGGAGAACCGATTATGTATTTTAAGGTACATGTATTACAAGTTAGTTTAGGTAGATAAGCAGGTTAATTTCCATAATATACGGCAATACGCGTAGTGGCTTCTGCCAATGTGGGTTATAACTCACCTACAACAAATAAAACAATGTAATGATTTTATACTGTCAGCAAGATATACATTGATGAACAATTAAACAACTAATATGTAAATAAGGTCCGATTATGTTCCCAACACAATAACTATTGTGTGTAGAATGTACATACATATTTTTACCTTATTTGTAAAAGTAGATACAAAGGCAATTGCAAACAATTATTCTAATGTAAATATGTACAATTTAATTCAAATAGCTCTCCGCGGTTGATTACAATGCCTATTGGTGTAAACAGTCGTTACATTATTATCTTGGACTGTTAACGTTTGCTATACATGTATATTATTTTCTACGTGCCTCGCTTACTCAAGTGTCTTATATCACAAACATCTTCATTTAATCTTCTTTGAAATAATATTAACATAATTGGTATTGTATAATTTTAGCAATTATAGAAAAATCATGCCATGTACAAATTACTTTAATTATGTTTCAGAAATTTGAACAGAAACAAGACAAACAACGATTAAAGCAAAGAAAATAGGTAATTAATAGTAATTATACATGCAATATCGAATACCGGCAGCAGACTATTCTCAATACAGTCAAAAGCAGTGTATTATTGACAAATGACTAGCACTTTTTCAATGTTGTCTAGCATTTCTTATCATTAAAGATATACTGTATTGTTGAGCTAAAAATAAATTCAATATTTAGATTGCTTACTCCCTGGTTCAGCAAGTTGTATAATTTCAATTTACAATTTGGACGAAACCATAATATAACACATGCAGAAATGTTACTTTTCCTAAATTCCTAAAATATGACTGCCCATTGATTGTCTGGTATTAATCATTTTGTTGTGAAAAATCTTTCAAATTTGGAAAGCATTGTTTCGGTCAGTGTCCCATTAACAGACATCAGATCAAAACTTCTTGGATCCTAAGTCGCAATGAACCTTTTCGGAGTGTTAATCAAACCAACTGACCAATCAGAATAAGGCAAGGGAAACACGCGCGTCCTAAAAACACACGTGTTGTCCCATAAACACACGTGCTTACGTACATTTACGATTGTTTTATGGGACATTAGCAACAGTATCCAAGGGGCGGAGCTTAGCTGAAAGGTCCAATGCTTACGTCACTTTTTCTACAGTTTATGTGATTTTACTTCTTTTTTTAAGAACCTACATGTAATACGTTGTTTTTTTTTCTTTTTAAGAGGCATTTCTTATTAACATTGGTCATAATTAGTTACCAATCTATCCTCTGACATTTGTTATTCTATAGTTGTATATGTAGCAGCTTGACTAAAGGACAAACAAATTGATCGGGTAATACGTATGACAACTACCCTATATTGATATATTTCTCATTTACTTCAATCTCGTTGATATGAAGGTCTTAACTGTAAATCGGAAAAAAAATAATAATATAAATTTGAAAAAGAGAGCATAATTATGTAACCTTTATAAAAATGAACATATTAGGCGTTCGCTATTTACTCCAGTGTGTTCTGAAAATATTGCTATATATTTGAACTTTCTTGTTGATAGCATCTAAGTAATAACGCAAAACATAATTATAGAGTTTTTCATTTTGAGATACATTTCATATTTAATCTGAATTCTTAATTAGGGCCTATAGTATTCAGAAATGAATTGTATACAGATATTAACGTACTATTTATCTGATAATTGTTTATATTCTATTTTTGGGGGACGTGATTTTTGTAATTACCAGTGATTAAGATTATTAGAAATGTTTCCTTTGTGAATACACTGACTACCATAATTTGGATTCCAGTTGCAAAGCTTTTCACATGTTTATTGCTGATAATATAAAAAAAAAGATGTACGTAATGAAACTTTATATACTATATCAACTTATATTAGGCCTAAGCATCACATAAGATATTTAAACTCAGTAAATTGTTTGTAAAAACATATTCTAATTATGAGGATTCAAACCCCGAAATATAGTACATAAATGTTATACTTATTTAGCATATTCACACAAAAATATAAGCCTGCCTTTTTAAATGTGGACAATTTATAAACAATACATATATCTTCAAATCAGCCGCTAGTAATATAATTTTATTTTTTTCATGAAGTACTCCCTTCCCTGCCCAGATTTGGAATATTTATGATTAACATTAATATCTTAATCGCACTCATATTTTGATAGCTTTGCCTGGATCTATCGAGCAATTATACATGAATGTGTAATGAAGTGAGTGCTGAAAAAAATAATAACAAATTAAGTCATTCGGGCCATCAAACATGTGAGACACGAAGAGTAAAACAACAGAAACAACCATATAATGATTTACCATAAACGCATACAGGTTGAGCTAACAATTGTTTGTGATTTCATAGGAACTTTGATTTCTAACGCCTAGTTTTTATCATTACAAGTTGATTTATTTGAGTGATGTATATATACGTTTATTCATTACCGGTTTTCATTATGTAGATATTACTGACCGTATTACGGTGCTCTGGATATTATATTTGCAATGCAACTGTATTAATACGTATGTAAAGTGCTTGGGCATGCTTTTTAATACATAAGACTATTTTTGGATACATAAAATGAAAAAAACAAATCGTTGTGTTTTTGTTTGCTTTTGTCAGAGAAAAAAAAATGGTGATCTCATTTATTAACATTTTTTTTTGTTATTCAACTTAACAGTGTTTCAAAATTCACGGAAACTGACAATCGTTTTACAGACTTCTTAGTGCATTGCCGTAACCATGTCTTCAGACTTTCCGTAGTAAATGTAATATTCCCGTAGCACCACCCAATAATTTACCTTGAGTGCAAGATATAAGCATGGAGTTTAATTTATTTTGAAAATGAGCCCGATCGTCCTGGGCCAGATGGTCTTTGGGGCCGATGGTCTTTGGGGCCGATGGTCTTTGGGGCCGATTGTTTGTAATTCAATGTAGAATTTCAAAACAAACTGGACAGGATGAAGATTTTCGGGCTACTTTGTCTTAGTTTTCACAATAATTCATCAGTAATCCAGACAAGTAGGCCTATGAGTTGTCTAGGGACAATGTAACCCAAGATCCTCATGGAAAAGTCATTTGTTCTGGGCATAGGCCTATGATAAATTTCGCCGAAGTTTTTACGTGGTTAGTACGATTTTCACGAGCTTACGAATATTGCGAGATTGGTAGATCCTTTAATGTTACAACTCGTAGAAGGAAAACCGCCTATGAGTTTTCGAGATCACGGGTTAGACATTATTCCAAGTACTTAATGCCGTAGCCAGACAGTGGGACAGTCCCACACAATTTTTCTATTGGGTCCACAAAGAATGGGTCTACATTTTAAAACGGGTCCAGATTCTCATATTTTGCGTAAAATGGGTCAACTTTTAAGAAAATGGTTTCCAGATTTTTCATATTTTGCGTAAAATGGGTCCAGGTTATTCATTTTTTACGTAAAGTGAGACCACCTAATATTATCCCACACTGTTTGAAAATCCTGGCTACGGCATTACTGGTACTACAGTATATTATTAACCGTACACGATTTTCCCGAGTTGTCAACTCGTGGCCCAATTTATAAACTTTACCGCCACGAGTTCAGAGCAGCTCCGTGGGCTTTCCCCGAGTTGCCCGAACCTTTCAACGTTGTTCCACGAGTGTCCTTCGAGTGACCTAGTTATAAATTCGGAAAGACTATGCGTGAGAGCAACTTCAGAGCTTCTTTAGAGTAGGCCTACTGTAATGACAAAACGGTCACAAGATGAGCCAATCGTACATTACCGGTATGTTCCTACATTGTAGACTACTGTAAATAAAATGTCAAATTCTATATATATATATATATATATACATTTATATATATAATTATATATAGGCCTATATATATAGATTATATATATATAAATTATTTCATTGTATTACTTAGCCC